CCGGGCTTAGTGTACGTACATGGTACTTAGATTTTCGAGTACCACCCCTATTTCTGCGTGAGTTCGTCGTACCAAATGGGCGAATCTCATAGTTCAAGGCTCGTCCTTGCGACTTAGAATCATACAGCATGAAGTCATCATCAAGTAAAATCATCATGACTATGTGTGACATCAATTACGCATCATGTTATCATCATCAAGTACATCAATTACATAGATGTCATGTAATCATCATCAAGAACAAGTATATATGGATTATATGAGTATCATGTAATCATCCTCACAAGCAAATTGATTAAATGTGCCATCATGTAATTATCATCAAAAATTTATCATCATGAATCATCAAATTGACCATATGATATAATGTGCCATATCATGAATATTATTATACATTTGTGGACGTATATATATGTATATGTATATGTCTGTGAATCATTCTACAAATTCTAGCGTGGTACCACTCAGCGGTTTCTCTGAGCGTGTAGTTTGTATTTTTTTTCGTTGACTACACGTAGGTAATAAGAAGACAATGATGGAACCATTCCCGGAGGGCATTGAGTCAGAGGAGATGCAAGGATAGCAGGCAAATGTTTGATCAACATATTTTAAAATATGTCATGATTTGGTTATTATTGTACTTCCGCATTACTCTGAAAATATTTTTAAATGGGTCGCGATCCAGAGTCTGTAAATTTAATATTTATAAGTAATTGTCATTTTCAAATGTCAAGCGAAATTTTTATTTAACTCTTGTTTCACCATAATTCGTATAATTCCGGGTTATACGGATTGGGGTGTTACAACTGTTGCCTCCGAGCAAGCCACCCACAGCTGTCGTCATTCCAATCACAGTGCAGCCGCTCAAAGTTGTGGCTAATTGCACCGTCCAATTGCCAGAAAGGGGTTGGGGATCTGGATTGGAAATTTGGAATGTGTTTTTCAGTTTTAAGAGGGGTAAAATTGGGAGTCAAAGGCAAAATAACTAGACTCTTAAAAATGGCAAAAAGTCAATGTGGGAAGGTTGATTTAGGACGAAGGGAGTAATATTTTAGTAGTCCTTTTGATGTAAGAGATAAAGAGAAGTAAATGAAGGAATTGTATCTTGAGAAGAAAACCCCTCAAATAGGAGCAAAACATGGATTATACAAAACTATGGTTAAATATATGATTTGATTAACCCTCCTAGCCGCACAAACCAAGTTGGGCACACAAACCAAGTTGGACTCCCAATACTCATTAAACAAAACTATGGCAAAAAATAGAGTTACTTGACATTTACCCCTTTTTGACATTATGCATTAACATATGTGATGTTTAACATTATACATTGATATATCTTTTATTATACATTAGCAGGAATAATATTATCCGTACAATGTCAAAGTTGGCATTATCTATTTAATTTGTTTAGCATTATGCATTCACATGTATGACTTTATACATTGGCATGATTGTCATTATATGATTACATGTGACATTTAATATGGTCTTTTTTGACACTGTATGGACATTTTAATTTAGCAATTTACTACATTTCTATATATAAGGTATTGATTCATTTTTGTTGATGAAGTTTTGGGTGTGTTTTGTTATTATATTTAATTTTGTTTACGTTCAAATTTGTTATTTTTTAGCATTATGCATTCACATATATGACTTTATACATTAGCATGATTGCCATTATATGATTACATGTGACATTTGATGTGGTCTTTTTTGACACTGTATGAACATTTTAATTTAGAAATTTACTACGTTTCTATATGTAGGTATTGATTCATTTTTTTTGATGAAGTTTTGAAAATTCATGCATGAGGCGGCTTAGAACAGTGCTCGAACTCCGGGATTGAAAATTCAGCACATGTACGAATAAGAAGTTTTGGAATTTAGTCATTGTTTAGTTTTGGGAGATGCATGAGTCATTGTTTATGGAGTAAAAAATTAGAGTCATTGTTATGTTTCTTTTTTTCAAAATAAATCATGAGTGCCATACAAACACCCGATATATTAAACAAAAAAGTCTAACCAAACAAGGAAATAGCAACTATGATGTTCACATATGTAATCAGTACTACACCTTCTACGCACCTCAAGGTGAACTAAAGAGAGCATCCGTAAAATTGGAGTCATTGTTATGTTAATTACTCCTATTTAGAGGAGTTTAAGTTTCAACTCCTATTTTGGGATATGATAACTCTTTGATCCATCTCCCTATCTTGAGTCCACAAAATCTAACGTGAAAGAAAGGAGTCCTCCCTTACCCAACTTGGGTGCTCTAAAATTTCCTCTCAAACAACCAACCCATAATCGAGGCGCACCCGAACAAAATGGGCATGACTGTGTACTGTTATCTAGGGCTATGCTCACGTGGAACGGAACTAAGGGTCACACAACTCTCTCTCTCTCATATCTTATCTCTCATCATCATCATCCTATCATCAATGGACCACGCTAGAACGTACACCCATGCTACGCAAACAGACGATAATTGATAATTGTGTGTGAGACACAGTTGTAGCACCATGTGTGGTGGCACCCTACATTTCCCATCATGAATTGCTCGCTCTAATCTTAACTAGTACTCCGTAATTCTTATGGAACCAGCAGAGCTCGATAGGCTGAGCAATGGCCGGAGCTTCAGACAAGGACCGAATCAACTCCGCTGCACGCAGGGTGGCCTCCGTCTCCAACCACCTCTCGCCGGCGCAATCGCCTCCGCCGCTTCTTTCCTCGATTAGACCGTCGATTTGCAGCTCTTCCCTGAACGATAGCTACCACAGAGTCCACGGCGAAGTCCCCACCCACGCGCCCGTTTGGGAATCGGTGCCTTCCGATGAGTCCGGCAAGGAGTTCACTGACATCATCTACGAGAAGGCTGTTGGGGAAGCCATTGCTAAGGTACTCGTGTTTTCTACTCGCAGTTCATTATCTTGATTCTTGATGCTATGAACTGTGTTTAAAAAAGTTCACTAGTTTTGCTTAGAAAGATGGAAAATTTGGGACTAAAAAGTAATATGTTTTCTAAGTATGTTTTATTCTCTTAATGACACATATTTTCGTGTTGGATAATGACTGAATATACGAATGACTACGATTGTGGTCATTAGCAATAAGTGTTGAATAATGACTCGTTTTTTCAATAATTATTCAAATTGTTTTTATTAATGTCTTATTCTATTTGATTTGTGTAATAAGTCATTCTTTTCAAAGGCATGACATTTTAGAACTTTCTATTGCCAAACGTTAGAGTAAATAGAACCGGTCCTATTTGGGGAAAAGTGATATGTTGAAGTCCCATTTGCGTAAACTACCCAAGAAAAAAAGTTAGTTTCGTTAGGAATTAGACACTTTCAAAGTTCTAAAACCCCATCATTTTGAATCTAATGGGTTGAGGACTTTAAGTAGACTCCCTCCCCTACAAAAGCTGTTGGGCTGATAGGAATGAACTTCTAGACGAACATCCTTACAAACAAACGAGGTGAGCCAAAACTTGATATCAGGATAGAATTTACAATGGGATAAGGGTCACGGATGCTTGATCGGCGGAACCGCATTAAAAGATCGAATCCAATCGATTACCTAATTCAACTCAAGAGCTTATAAATTGGCTTTAGACTTAACCCAAAAGAGCAGATAGTTATTCATTCGTACATATTTTCGCCTGTGTGGATTTCTAGAGTGTATAAACAATAATATTCATTACAGTTTCTGAGAGAGATTTGCACAAGTGTAGTATTGTTTTGATGATATAGTACAAACTGATTCTGTTTTAATACTTTTCTTTTTATTTTCCTTTGGCAGATAACGATTAATAGACCAGAAAGAAGAAATGCTTTCAGGCCTCACACAATTAAGGAACTTATTCGTGCATTTGATGATGCCAGGGATGATGGTTCCGTGGGGGTCATCATCCTCACTGGGAAGGTATTTCTGCAATCCTACTGATTTCTCATATTTAATGCAGGAAAAAGAAATTTGATCTATAATATTTTATGCTCTTGAGAAGTACTCCGCATATTCCTATTTGTAACATTGCTAGAAAACTATAGTCAGGTATCTTCATGGAAACAACCTCTTAATGCACAAACCATATACATTACTTCCGAGTTGGTTGGACATAGTGGGTATGCTTGGTTTGGTTTGATTGAGAAACTACCATTTGAGGTGCTGGATGGGAAATAAAAAAAAGCTTAAAAGTATTCAACATATTCAGCTGCCTCAATTTGATTATCCTTAGCCTTTGATAAGTTGAAAAAGAAAGGGAATCCCTATATAACCTATATTCTTGCAAGCGTGCCTCAATTTCACAAATTGTTTAAATGACCGAATATGATCTTACATAACACTTTGCTAAACATTTCCAGAACTCTTTTGTGGTCTTTCACAAATTGTCATTAATGGCTCTAAATCTGTGTTTATTTCTTGCTTCACTAATTAAGTGATTGACCAATCCATCGGGGCAAACACTTAATGATTTACCGTGTGTGTTGCATTTTGAAGGCTTGTATTGTTTATGAACTTTATTTCCATTCCCCTATGGAGCCAAAGATTCACTATTTTTTGGCTTTGGGGTATGATGGAATAAAGCAAATTGGCTCTTTAAACTGTCTGCGCTTCTTGCAATTGTGAAGTAGCAGTTAGTCAATGCAACTTTCGACGCTCATCATAGGTCATTTGGAAACAGCCGCTCTATGTTTTAAACATAGGGGCCAGACTGCGTACATCCGACCCCCCTTACCCCGCAATGGGCGGGAGCCATTGAGGCACTAGGGTAATGTTGTTGTTGTATTGTATATGAACTTTAATGTATTATCATATTTTCCTTTACACAGGGGACTGAGGCATTTTGCAGTGGGGGTGATCAGGCATTAAGGAATAAGGATGGCTATGCTGATTATGAAAATTTTGGCCGTCTCAATGTTTTAGATTTACAGGTAATGGTTTAGTGCTTTAGTTAGCTTTTAAAGGGGGAGGGGAAGGGAGGGGATATTTTTTCTTTTCAAAAAAATATCGCTTTAAGGCTACAATTTTTTGAAATAAACTATATATCAGATGATATATAAATTAGTATGGACTCAATGTCCTAGTCATTATTTATTGCCAGTAACTATAAATAATTCTCATATTTTTTAAAAACAAACTTCCAAATTGTGCCTAGAAGGATTTATATTTATGAACTCTGAACCCCAAAACATAGCAAACATAGTCTGCACCTGAATCGTCAATGTTTAAATGTTTAATCACGTCAAAGCTATATTTTTTCACTGTGATTGTTTGGTTATCTGGATACCCATTTAACCTAGCAGGGTAGAAGTTGATACAAATTTGCAGCTAGTTTCAATCTGCACCTGATTTCTAACTTCATTTTCTCATAGTTTTTATCCCTTTTTTAAAATTTAAATTGCAGGTTCAGATTCGCCGTCTTCCAAAGCCTGTAATTGCAATGGTAATATGTTTACTTGCATAGGATTGGGAGCCTTCAGAGCGTTGTTTCATACCCTACTCTTTGTGAGACTCACATCCTCCAAAAAAAGGTTGCAGGTTATGCTGTTGGGGGAGGACATGTGTTGCACATGGTTTGCGACTTGACCATTGCAGCTGATAATGCTATATTTGGTCAGACTGGACCGAAGGTCTTCTCACATTCTGATTCATGTTGTACATGTATTACTTTCACTACTGAAGTGCCTTCGTCATCACCACTACGTCTTAATCCCATCCATATTGGTGCCGGCATCACAAAATTTAATGTCAAAAATGTCATTTATTTCCCCAAAAGTAGTTGATTAAAACTTCATTTCATAAAAAAACAGACTTTGAACGAGTAGTGTAGCAAAGTTTTACATTAAATAAATCCAAACTCGCTCATCCTCATTTTTTTCCCACAACAAAAAATTCATTAGACAAGTATGAGATGAGATATAGTTGTCAGTTGTCACAGTTATGCACATTACAAGCCTGACACTGTGAAACTAAAAATTGACCCAATATTCTATGGTACATATATTTCAGGTAGGGAGCTTTGATGCGGGCTATGGGAGTTCCATAATGTCTCGTTTGGTGAGATTTGAATAGTTATGCGTTCCTTCTTCACTGCATCTTCTCATTACTAAAGTCAAAATGAACATTAAACAAGCCTCTTGATCTGTGAGAGTTGAATAAATTTTCTTTTTTGGTGAATTGGTTGGACAGGTTGGTCCAAAGAAGGCTCGCGAAATGTGGTTTTTGACGAGGTTTTATAGTGCATGTGATGCAGAGAAAATGGGGCTTGTAAACACTGTTGTCCAGGTGAATTGATCTATATTTATCAGTCATGAGCAATATTTATTGGGATTCACTAATGCAGAATGGGATTTATCTCTTTCAGTTAGAGAAGCTGGAACAAGAAACTGTAAAATGGTGTAGAGAGATACTAAGAAACAGCCCGACTGCCATTCGGATCCTTAAATCGGCTCTCAATGCTGTTGACGATGGGCACGCTGGACTTCAGGTAAGAATTTTTTTAGAACTCTGCCTTTAGTATAAAATGATCAAAGATTTTACCTGCAAAAATGAGTTACTTTATTATGTACTCCCTCTGTTCCATTTTCTTGGGCTCACTTTGAATGAACACAAACATTAAGAACATTATATATTGTGATTGAGATTTATACAAGAAGATGCATGTGAAATGTGAATAGATTATAGTGGTGGGGGGGGATCTTACCCCAAATGAATTGGTTTAAGATCTTTACATCAATTCGATTGAGGCACCTACACTACTCCAATCTAAAAATTGATTGTTCCTACCCCTAGTAAAACGGCAAGTCTCTTACGCACCCAAGCATCCCCCAATTGCACCAACCAAATTTTGAATAAAAAATTTGACCATAAAGTCAATAAAAATTTGGATGGTGCAATTGAAGAGGGTGCAGGGTGCCGTAAGGGACGAGCCAGGTATAGGTGGTTTACGGGAGGTTAGGGGTAAGAACAATCAATTTTACGATCAGAGCACCATACGTGCCTTTATTGAACTGGTGTAATAATCTTTACCACCCCTCGTTATAGTATTAACTAATAGAATTAACTCTTGATTTTTCCATCAGGGGCTGGGAGGAGATGCCACACTACTATTCTACGGAACCGAGGAAGCCACCGAGGGGAAGAATGCCTATGTGCAACGCAGGCGGCCCGATTTCTCTAGATTTCCCAGGTTACCCTAGCAGCATTGTATATTTGCCTGGTTTGGGGAATCAAATGTTTAATTTATTGAAAAATTTCATTATCCAGTTGTTTGGCTGGCCACAAAGATGAGGTCTTTGGCATTTATGCCCTCAAACCGAACTGTTCTCTAAGGGGCATTATTTGGATGAGGTCTTTGGCATTTATGCCCTCAAACCGAACTCTTCTCTAAGGGGCATTATTTGGTTGAGGTCAAAACCAGACTATTCACTCGTTTACAACTAAATGACTGTTTTACTCTTTACTTTTTGCACTAATTCATCTTTTTTACATCTTTCTTTAATTTATCACACGACCAAGGGTAGAAATGGAAGGTCAAATATATTTTCATCTTGAAAATTCAGCCATATCAAAAAGAAAAAAAATCGGACGGAGTATGATTCTATGTCACCAATCTACTCTAACACAAATATAGTTTTAAGACATTAGCATAAGTAATTAACCTTGGCATTTCCGAAGAATTCTTTGGCTTCCATTCTTTCTCTCCTTTGCACAATTTTAGATTACACAATTTTATTTTTCTTAAATTCTGTCTAAAAGACAAATATGAAGATTAAATAGAGATGAAGGGAGTACCAATTTTATGACACAATTTTAGTTAGCTACTTCATGAATAATAATCTCTTTTGAGCTCACGACAACTCTTGTTTATCGTATTTTATGTTTTTATTGATTATTTAATAAAATTAAATAATTTTGTCACGTTTTTTCTATAACTTTTGGTATACTTTTAGAATATGTAATTTGTATTTTTTATTTTTATTGCCAATTTGCAAATAAAATTCTTTATATATAAATTTGAGAGTTCGGTCTATGAGAGAATGACATGTGTCAACATTGAGAAAAAGACATGTGTCAATACTTAGAGAATGGCATGTGACAAAATGGTTGAATTTTTTTAATGCTGGGCTCATCAAGAGGGAAATCCTTTATATATAAAATGATTGAAATTTTTTTAACGCCTAGCTCGAATTCAATAAATTACAAATTTGTGAACAAACTTTTAGGCATAGGAATATTTTTTTAAATAAAATGGTGTAATCATGTCAATTATAAATTCATAAAATAAATCAGAAGATCTAAAAGAACTAGTTATGTTATTTATCAAACGATATAAAAAATATTTTTAAAAATTAATCAATATAAATAAAAGAAAAATAATTAAAACAAAATTAGAATTTCAAGCATTTATTTAAACCATCAATCAATATAATAAAAAGGAAAGAAAATCATTATTTATAAAAAAGTAAAAAGAAAGTAAAAAACTAAAACAAAATGAAATTTTTAGCATTTATTAATAACAATTTGATCTATTTATAATTATAAATGTATTTAATATAAACTAAATATAATATTACTTTAAAAATATATCAACTTCTAACTTAAAATTAATAAAGATTTATCTTAATATATAATAAACCTTTTTTACAATGGAAATAAAAAAGCAAATTCTTTATATATAAATTTGAGAGTTTAGTCTATGAATTTAATGCCTGGCACATCAAGAAGGAAATCCTTTATAATTTATATATAAAATGGTTGAAATTTTTTTTCAATAAATTATAAACTTGTGAAGAAAGTTTTAGGCATATGAATATTTTTTTAAAAAAATAAAATGGTGTAATCATGTCAATTATAAATATATACAATTCATCAGAAGATCTGTAAAACTACGTATGTTATTTATCAAACGATCAACAAATATGTATTTAAAAAATTAGTCAATAGAAATAAAAGAAAAACAAATTATAAAAAATTATAATTTCAAGCATTTATTTAAACAATCAGTCAATAGAATAAAAAAGGAAATAAAAGCATTTTTATCAAAAAGTAAAAAATAAAGTAAAAAAACTAAAACAAAATGAAATTTTTAGCATTTATTAATAACAATTTGATCTATTTATAATCATCAATGTATTTATTATAAAATATATAATATTCCTTAAAAAATATATCAACTTCTAAGCTTAGAATTAATAAAGATTTCTCTTAATATAGAATAAACCTTTTATATAATAAACAAGATATTCTCTCCACCTCTATAAATTTTCATATTTTTAATTTATATTTAATATAAAGAAATTATTTTTTATTCTATCTATATCAATGAAAAAAATATATATTTAAAAGATAGATCAAATGATCTACAAATATAGTTTATATTATTTTATCAAACTTAGATTAGTATACATTTAGATTAGAAGAATATTTGTGTAATCCACAAAAAAATTTAAGACGAATAAAGAATCATTAATCCTTTATAGGTAAAAATGAGACATATCTCTAAGAAACTAAGATATGTCATATTTATCTGGCTTTTTAAACATCTAATACATCAAAATCATAAACTTTTTCTTTTCATTTATAACAAAATTTCAGAATAAAAAATAAAATACTCACTTCACATACAATAAATTTTATATTTGTTCATGATTTTACATGAGATTAGTTCGGTTATATTTATTTAAAATTTGAAAACAAAAAAATAGAATATTTTTTGCACCTATAAATAAATTTTATATTTTATTTAGACACCTAATATGCCAACTAATTATGTATACAGAAAATGTGAATCCAATGTTTTAGTGTGAAATCTTTAAATAAATTTAATTATGGAAGTGAAACATTTTTTTCTTATGATAATTTTTCTTTTCCAATTTCATATAGTATGTTTTAGTCTCTTGATTTGTACTCCCTCCGTCCGAAAATATTCTTCTCGTGTTGACTTGGCACGCTTATTAAGAAATAGTAAAAAATGCAAAATTTTCAAAAATGCACATACTATAAACTTTTAAATCTCCTTTTATTATTAAAAAAGTACTAAAAAAGTAGATTTGTGATAAAATAGAAGGGTATTATTGATATTTATCTTTAAAAAGTATACTAAAAAAAGGAAATGCGAAGAATATTTTCGGACGGACCAAAAAGGAAAGTGGGAAAAATATTTCCGGACGGAGAGAGTAATAAACTTTTAATCGATAAATAATACATTTTTTGACATCTAAATTATTTTGATACGAGTATTTGTTTATGACATGTTTAAATGAAACTAGCTTTGATTCTATTTATTTTAATATTGATGTAAAATTAAAACCAAACAATATATTTTAAGAACTTGATATGCACATATTTTATACACTTTTTAAACATATTTTGAAGGAGTTTTGAGTGCCAATTGAAATTAATGTTTATATTTTATTTCAATTTTTCGTTTTATTTTGGTAGAACAGTCCTATGCTTGGTTTTTATATGTTTTGCAGGTATTTTGAGGTCATTTGGACGCATTGAGGATAATTGCAAGAACGGAAAATAAGCATGGAAATTTGGGACAAAAATAAATGAAAGAGATTTGAACAAAAGAAGGAATTGATAAAAAGTAAAGAAAAAAACGCCACTTGGATTCGAATCCCAGACCTTGGAGAATGCCGGCAGAGAACAGACCAATGCACCAGTCGCTCTACTCTTTATTTGATTACCTTTCCGGAAGAAAATATCTTTATATAATTGGCTCAAGAGGAGAGGAAAAAAAAGACAAAACACCGACACTGCATGGGGAATCACACACGGGATCAAGCGGTGAAGACAATCAGCCACATTTCCATGTGCACTATTGTGCTTGTATTGGCTCCTAATGCAACTGTTTGTATATACTCTGTATATACGAATTCATCTATAAAAAAACTCACCCTTCTCTTCTTCAAAAGGTTGGAACCCCCCATTTCTCTTCTCTCCAATTCAAAATTCTCTTCATTCCTCACTAATATCTCACCACTTTCTTCAACCAAACACGAAAATTACTTCATCTTCATCATCATCTATCATATTTGGAGCTCAAGAACACACCTTCCATTTTGTAAGATTTATATGTTTGTAATAAATATTTATTTGTTTAAGCTTCAAACTATGAATTTCTAAATTCCACTGGGGTTAGAAGTTGGTGTAATTAATTGTCCATCTTAATGTTTTAAATATTTTTAACATGGATTGTTGATTTTATTTTTACTTAGATGTTGTATTTAAAAATAAACAAAATTTGGAATGTTTGTGATTTTTAATTAAGGGCCCAATCATAAACATAATTGTTAAAAGTAATTTGAGCTAAAATTGATATAATCATAAAATAGAACACTATTTAAATACACCGTAAGCCTTCTCTACCTTTAACCGGGATTGAAGACTTTCGGGTAGACACAATTATTGAGTTGTATTTTTACACTATTAAATTAGGTAAACATACAATAAAATAATTATGGTTGCCGTTGTTAAAAAATAATTACTCCGGATTTATCATTAGTGTGTTAAAGTCGGAGTGGTTATTATTTAGGTGAACTGCGAGAGCGTCCCTAAATACTTTTCTGCAACCCCACACATTCTATATAAAAATAAATTAACAATCCAACTTTCATAAAAACATTGGACAATTAATTTACCAATTTCTACCCCTAACTTTTCATCATCAAAAACTTTGTGTTGTTTGGAACTCTCTCTTTTTACACTTTTTATTTTATCTCTAAAACCAAAAAAACCAAAAAAAATATTTTACAACTTCTTTTGTAAACTTTTGTCAAAAATAAATTAACTCACGTCTCCCTGAGGTTCGACACCCTACTCACAAGGGTTCTTTTTAGTTGTTAGTTTTGCCCGTTCTATACTGCAAAATCAGAACTACATTAAGAAATTCTAAAAAAAGATATAACTGAACTATATTTTTTTTAAAATAGAAAATGCTTTTAAATAATAAATAATTTTTTATTTTTATGCTTTTAAAAAATATTCATTAGCCTAATTTTAAGATAAATTATATTAAAAATAATTTAGTTAAATATCATGAACGGAAAAAAATGATTTAATCGATAGGGAGTATTTACAAAAAGAAAAGAAAAATTTACACCAAATACGACAAAAACATAAGTCATTTCTCAATGTAGGACTTAAACTTTTTTATTCCCTAAATAGAATTTAATAATGTTTAGTGGGAGGGATAATGTCCAGTGATGGTGGATATTTACTTGAATAATGACTAGTGGATAATGACCAATGGTCATACATCGAGAAATAAACACATATGGTCTTATATTGTAAAAGTCATTATGTTTTAGTCTTATTTAAGGAATTTTCCAAAAAAAAATGAAGCTATGAACCCAACGGTGGAGTCTTCCCAATCCAAACAATAGGCAACAGTGCAACACCATCCAGACACTATTGCAATTTGCAACTAAGGAGTACATTTTAAATAAAATAAACTAGAAAAAAACCTAGGGGTTCACCAAAATGAAGTATCCCCTTTGTATACCAAACAAAAACAGACATTTAGTGTCTGTGGATCATAGACACTAAGTGTCTGTATTTCTTGGTGTACAAATGAGGTACTCCATTATGGTGTACCCCTAGCATGCCCCAATAAACTTACTACCGTAATTTTCGAATAAATTGTATTCCAATTGAAACAGAATGATTGCATTTTGAATAATCTAACTAGAGAAGAAAAATTTATTCCATGTAAGACTAAAAGATAGAACATTTTCCAAAATATAATCAAGTGTGTCTTATTCCCTTTATGACACATAATTCCATATGGTCTACCATATATGCCTCATTAGCAAAAACGTTAGATAATGAGTGATTATATGAATGACTCTACGAATATCATATTAGCAACTAGTATTGGATAATGACTGATTATTTCAATGGATATTCAAATTATTTTTAATACCGGAGTAATGTTTTATTCTACTTGAATTCTGTAATTAGTCATTTTTCTCAAGGGAAATACAGAGTATATTTTAGAACTTTTCATTGTCGATGGAATTGATCTTATTTAGAGAAAAAGTGGTAGATTAAAGTTATCCAAAAAGAGTGGCAAAATTGACTAAACAAATCGGGTGCACATTGCATTATACTGTCCTAGAGATACTTTCGTCAACAAATGAAAGTTTCTTAATCAACAAAATAAAAAGGAACAGAGTAGCTATATCTTGGGTTTTTCCCATGGTTATTTTGAGCTGGCAATTGGATCGGTTCTGTTTGAAATAATTCGGTTTGGTGTCATTTGAATATACTTCCTGCGCCCCAGTGTATTTGTCCAGTTTGATTTTTCCGAATCAAACTGGACAAATTTTGAGCTTCAATTAAATAAAAATTTTAATGTATTTTAACATAAAAATGACCTTATTGGGTTTATCGTATTGACAACTTTCAAAATTATATTTCATTATGATAATATGGAATATAAATTGAGAGTAATTGGAGTTCAAAGTTTATCCAGTTTGACTCGAAAAAATCAAACTAGACAAATACACTGGGACGGAGGTAGTATATTATAATCGATTTGGCTCAGATTCATTCTGGTTTGGAATAATTTCATTCGGATATATATGTTAAGAATTAATTCGATTCCATACATTTTTAGTTTCAGTTCGATTCCATGTCGATTCAGATACGATTCAGATATCAATTGTTTTGAATCGGTTTCTTCAAATACATTTTCTTCGGACATATTTCAATTCAAATATATTTTGCATATATGTTATTCTTGAATTAAAAATTAGTTGTCCGTGTTTCTTTTTTTTAGCGTCGCGCTTATCAATTTATCACTAATTCATCACCTCAAATCATTTTATATATATTTTGAATTATACTCTATCTGCACTAAATAGTCTTTCATTTTTTTTACTTTTTCGCCATATTTTATAAACTTGGATTACAAATTATGAAACAAAAACATTTAGTTATGATATAAGTTTAATATAATGGGATTGATTTGAACATATAGTTTTGATATATGAAATTTTTATAACATCTATCATCTCCATCTTTATATACGTAAAAATAAAAGATAATTTCAATAGTCATTCGTTTCAATTGAATAAAATTGATTCTAATTGGATAAAAATTTAGTGAAATTATATGATATTCATTTAATTTTATTCCTAAAAGTTATTGCAATGAATGAGATTGAATATAAATGAGTGCTTAATTTTTTGAAATTATTTGAAATTCAATAAATTTTATCCTTAATTAGATGAAGTTGAATACAATTACGTTAAATTGAAGTAAAAATAGGTAAAACAAAATACATTTGGTTGAAGTTATTAGATAAAACTAAATCCAATTACATGAAATACAATAAATACGAGTTTGAAACAAGTATATACACTCATACATAGATAAAAACTAAATTAGAATAATGTTATCTTATCAAATATTCCATACAATTGAGTCTAATGAGATGAAAGTTAAATAAAATCAAGTAAAATTTAGTGAAATTCATTCAACTTTGTGCTCAATAATTATTCTAGTTAGTTTATATTTAATGCGATAAGGTAAAAAATCATTTAACTTTTTTGAAATTACATACATTTAGGTTAATGTATTGAAATTGGGTAAGATTTATTGTAATTGGGCAAAATTTTGAATGAAAATAAATACTAAAATTTTGAGGTCATGTTTGGCCCACCACACTACTAAGAGCTTTGTTTGAGAGAAGGGTGAAACATTATCTTTTTAATTGTGTTTTTGTTTGTATAAATTTTAACATAAATTTATAATTTTATACTTATAAATTTATACTTATAATTTTGTATAAATTTTTTTTATGTATATACTAATTTGTAAATGAAATAAATTTAAAAGACATGAAATTGTTTTAGATATGTCAATTTATTGTGGGTAGCAGGAAGTAATATAAGTATACAACTTGATGGAAAATATAATCATACTCGAACATTTCGATTTGAATTTCCAAATTATTATTACTTCATAACTATTTACTTTCTAATCACTTTCCATTATCAACTCACTTACCATAACTATCTTCATAATCAATTTTTATCATGATAACATCCTCATAATCCATTCACTACCATAATTACTCTCACTATTTACTCTCTACCATAATCACCTCCACCATTCACTATTCTCCAAAAATACCTCCACCATTACCTCTCACTCCCCATAACTACTACTCCATCTCTCACTATAAAAAAGTGACCTTTCACCTTCAATATGGGGAGAGACCAAACCCATAAAACTATATTCTCTCTCTCTTTTTCTCTCTCTCTAGTAAAGAATACGTCATGTACTCCATGGTATTATTTTCTTCTTTATAGCGTTAAAAAACTCCATTAATGACTACAAAATCCATATTATGTACAATATAATGTACAAACTCACGATATTAATAAAATTTCCATGTTGCCCGTTGGCATGGTACTCTTGAAAAATGCTCATGGTTTTCTCCTAATTTAGGTTTCTATATCAAAAATAGCTTATTCGTATTTCTGATGATTGTTAGGTTCATTTATCATTTTGACACAGTAAAAATATTAAAAATGATCAAAAGAATTAATACCATCACAACTAGTTCAAATGGTAAAATTGAATGAAAATTTGAAATCACATGAATGTAATTATTCACTAATATACATAAATACAATATGTTTATTGTTTGAAAAAATCAATTTTGGGTCTTATCAATTTTAGATCTTTTTTTTGCACAGAAAGTACAATACTTGTATTAACCGAATCAAGTTCATACAAATAAACATAAACTCAATAGAGCTTCCCCCTATTCTTACAACGCCCTCATAAAATTAAAATAACAGCACATATAAGAACTGATAGAATTGACGGTTTCTTCTATGGAACACTCCCCTTGTTTAATCTTCTTATTTCACAATCTCCAAACGCCATACACACGAGTAGCCCATAATGCAAGGACCAACTCCCCTAAATTAAAAAATTGGATGCTAATCTTAAAATCTGAAAAACTCCTATAAATCTCCTGAGCAACCACACAATCCCAAAACAAGTGTTTGTCTGTTTCCCCCTCAACATCACACATAGTACAACTTGTGTTAATATTAATAAATCTGCTGACTATTACTTTATTCTGCAATCTCCCTTTCATCATCAACCACACTATATGCTGATGCTTGGGAGGGGTAACCTTGTTCCAGACCATATCTATCCATTTAGGTTTGATAGTTTCACCCTGAAGCCCGTTATAACCATCTCCAATCTGATATTCTTTACCAATAGACATATCTTTGAACTGGTTTCTAACTTGAACCATCTCCCTCCAGTAATGGCAGGAATCAAGTTTTAAGATATAACTCCAGAAGTCTCCCCCTTTGATATACCTATTTTGAATCCACTTCACCCAAAGAATTTCCTTTTTCTTAGCTACATCCCAATTTAGTCTCATAATGGAAGCCTTATTCCAGTTAGCTATGTTTTTAATACCCAAGCCACCATACTTCTTTTTCTTACAAACCTCATCCCATTTAACTAATGGAACTTTCCTGAATTCATGTGAACCTCCCCAAAAAATATTTCTGCAGATTGATTGACTCTCCTGACCACCTGTTGTGGCCAAATAAATATTCTGGACCAAAAAGTAATAATCCGCATCAACACAGAATTAATGATCCTTACTTTGGCACTGTAAGAGAAATTCTTTTAACCCCATGCAGTAATCCTACAAGTGAGTTTAGAGATTAATACCTCATAGTCTTTAGCTTTTAATCTGGTTGTGGTGATAGGGCTGCCCTGATAAGTAAAAGGGAGTTTCCCTAGCTTCATCCCAATAATCTCTAACAGTTCTCTCTACTTTTGATACCCAATACCACCAAATACAATTTGAGACTTAGCTTTGTTAATGTTCAAACCAGTGGCTAACTTAAACTCATCCAATGTATTCATGATACATGAGACAGAGTTCACATTAGCTTTACATACCACTATTAAGTCATCTGCAAAACACATGTTTACTATCGCCAATTCTTTACACATTGGGTGGAAAACAAATTTGTTCCTAAGAATAGCTTCCTGGAAACTCTTGGTCAAGTACTCCATAACTAGGACAAAGATCAATGGAGAGATAGGATCCCCTTACCTTAGCCTCTTTGAAGTTGCCATATTGCCCCCCATTAATATTGGCAATGTACGTTAGAGTAGCAATACAAAACATCACCCATTTACTGAACATATATATCCGGAAACTTAAGGTGAAGTAAGATATCTCTGATGGCCTCCCAACTGATCATGTCATATGTTTTTTGTATGTCAAGCTTCATCATACATCTAGATGAGCAATTTTTTCTTGTGTATCCTTTTGCAAGTTTGTGGCACATCAAAACCTTGCGTATAAGCTCTCTTCCCTTAACAAAAACTCCCTGATTCATATTTACCAAATGTGGTAGCACCTCCTTCAGCCTTGAGCAAATGAGCTTAGATATAACCTTGTATATCGTGTTGCAACATGCAATTGGCCTGTAATCTGCTGGACTAATAGGATTCTCATTCTTAGGGATTATGCACAGACTAGTAGCAATTATTTGGATCAGAGATTTTCCTTCTTTGAAGAAATCCAGAACTGCTTTAATAATCAAGCTACCAACTTTTTTCCACAAATATTATTAATTTCAAGTCTTATTGATTTTAGATATTATCAGCTTCAGGTATTATTATCAATTTCACATTTTAATCAAGTATGAATTTAGTTCAGATCATTTAAATTTTGACTTAGTTCAGATCATTTCAATTATTCAGTTATAAATGAAATCTTCACTTCTCAGATCATTTCAATTTCAATTTCGAATACTCCGTATGAAACAAGTATGAATATATTTAGTTTAGTTTTAGTTGACTTTAGATCATTTCAATTGTTCAATTATAGATCCATGAAGCTTCGCCAAATAAAATCAAGTCATCTGATGCGACAATTTCGGGCTTCTTCTAGACAGATTCAACGCTTCCAGCGGCCCTCCTCCAGCTCTCTTACCCAAAAAGGATCACCCTATCGAAGTCCCCTCTGAGGTGTCACCGATAGTTTGGCAGATGTAACACAAAACATGATCAAGTCAATCAACTGTTGCTAGAAGCCCTTCACTTTCGATTATAGATCGTATCTCTACTCTCCAGATTATTTCAGTTTTGATTTTGGATCAATCGGTTTAGATATCAGATCTGACCCTATTTTGTTAGGTCTATGGTTGTTCACCAGGACTAAGTATTGCATAAATGACCAGCTCTACACACTCAAAAAAGAAGGTGACTTGTAATAAGGAAGATATCAAAAATACAGTACATTAATACTAATAAATAGAAACCATGAAATACATTGGCCACAGACCCACAGTTTATCACAGGAAATTTGTGCAAACAGGTTTTTCTGAGGTAAATCCTCCTTGATTTATCCTTTTACCCACACACACACACACGCACGCACTCGCGCGCACGCACACAACACACAAGTTTGTACTTTGCCAGTATACCTGCATCCTCTTCAACTATAGCTTCCTACTGTCTTCAAAGACAATATGCTAGGTCATTTCAAGAGCAAAGATTCAAGAGCTTTAGCATCGTAAACCGGAGGACTGCAAGCGAAATTCTGGCACACCAGAGCCACAACCTTGTTCCTAACAACGAAATTGTTTTTTGCCATTGTGGCTATCTTCTCGTTGTTTTCCTCCCAGAATCGCAATTCATCCGAGTCGCTTGGGTCTATGTGAATCACCTATATAAAAATGGCAGAAAAAAGGATGTATAAGGATATAGGCTAATTGAGGGCATACTAATTGGTGCTGGTGTGTGCAGAGAAACTTCGATGCTAGCAAAGTGACTGTCGGCCCACATCAGTCCGAGTCATCTGCGCCACATACATATCAGTATTTGGGGATTTGGGGGGGGATGGTAGTGAGAATTTAGAATTTACTGTTTTGTTGGGATCATATGATGCATGTGCAGCAGCCAACATGCGGTCAAACTCTGGTGACAACTTGTGACCAACAAGGACAATCTGCTTCCTCCTCGGAGAAATAGAAAGCAGCATATCTGCAGCACAACACATAAGTGGCACACCCACTGCCGTTTCGTTCAACCTCTTCTCAAAGACAGCCTGTGAGGTTGTGTCAGGTAAAAGTGGACAGACACGTCAGAGTGGTGATGGACGCATAAAGTAGGCCAACCTAATACGGGTGTAATGACATGATCCCAAACAGCCTAATTTGAGTGTTATAACAAACCGGGCTCAAGCTTTTGACGTACTTGAGTGGCACAATATTTGTGTCTTTTTACTTTTTGAATTGAGCTCTAGCCAAGCTCTCAGAAGAGAAAAAAAATTGTTCCAGCTTCCTTGTCTTAAAGACAGAAAGCTGAAAATGAGCTCTAATCAAGCAATTTTGAGGTTGGCAATGACTAGTTTGGTATCATTTTTTCACCCTACTTCACAACATCTAAACTATGGTAGAAAATCAGTGTCAAGCAGAGGAAGGGCATACCAATAGACGTTCTGAAGTGTCCCTGTAGTGATTAGATCCATTAGAAACCAAAGAAGCCAACCTGACTAGATTAATTGCCGAAACAGAGTTCCCAGATGGTTCTGCACCGTCGTGGTCTTCTTTCAAGCGGAGAAGAACAGATGGATCCTCCCCTGGGTTATTAAAGTAAGCTCCTCCCTCTTTGTCAAGGAATAGTTCATCCTGGAACATATAGGTAGATAGATATATGTATATGAAACATGAGACGACATAATAGTCTGGTGTCAAACAAAAACAACAATGTCCTTCCTCTACCTATAAAGGGAGCCTGATGCCAAACAGTTGGTGTATAAAACTTACTTGCATACGCTGCAACTCTATTGCCCATGCCAACCAGAATATTGAACCGCCAAACTCATATAGATCCAGAAGTCCAGATATCAGGAAGGCATAATCATCAAGGAACCCAGGTGCTTTAGATGGGCCATTTCTGTAGCTGTGTTGCAGCTTGCCAGTTTGCTGGTTGTAAAGATGCTTTCTGATAAATGAAGCCGCCTTTTCTGCAACATCCATGTATTCACTTGGCTACAGATCCAGAAAGGAGAAAAAATAAGCATGTGCTAAATATAAGTCGAGCTTAAACATGATATAAAATGCAGCAAGAAATTAGCTTGAAATGATTGTACATAGAATCATTAAATAGCAACAAGTAATGATAAAAAGGCTATATTTTTGTTGCAATCAAAGTAATTGAAATGGCAATGGGACTGGTCCTCTCCTCAAAGTGAACTAAACCATGTCATTAAGTTTACACAAATTATGTATACCATTTATTCTATGAATCATCTAGGCATACTCGGTCATTGCATTCTAGTAGTAGAGAAAAATGGGAATATCTTACATGACTACCAACTACAGGAAAGTAAAACTTTGTTCCTTCTGGCTCACTCTTCAGGATTTGAGATGCTCTAGCAAATGATGAAATTGCAAGTCCATTCCAAGAAACAATGACCTGCAATAGAGAGAGAGAGAGAGAAAGAGAGAGAGAGAGAGAGAGAGAGAGAGAGAGAGAGAGCAGGAGAGAGGGGGGAGGGAGAGAGAGACTCAATATGTCAATCCAAATCTATCTGACAAGGGAAAAGAAGCATATGAATTAACTCTATATACTCAAGGTCGACCCCAATTAGAAATGATTGGCACCTTATCATCCAAACATGGCCTTGGCCGTTTTGCTCTCTTATCAAAAAGTTTCTTCCGACATTTTCCCAAGATCTTCAGATACTCATCTACAGTCATATCAAACTTTGCTGCCATTTCAGAAACACTGTCTCTCTCTATAAGCACATTCTTATCCCTGAACTCATTATGGGGATCACTCCTCCTTGAGAGGTCACAGTTTCCTGATGCTTTAATGTAGTAATGCTCTTTAAAAAGAGGAGCATGCTCTCCAAGAAGCTCTTCAATCTGCCAGAATGAAGAGAAATTTGAAGAAACATTATTTTAAAGAATTGTGAAAGCAATCAGGTTTCAAGATGCTGGGCATACAAAATATTTAACACTTTTTTTTAAATAATATTTAACACATAATGGTGATTCAGATAAAGACAAAATGATACTATCAAATGTGATAGAAATTTGAAAACATAACATCTAGAAATCTTATGGTCAAAGTAATCAAACTAATATGAAGAAGTAAACCACGACTAAAAAAGAGCTGCAGATATACAAAATAAAGTAACACAAGAGAATACTGGTTAGAACCTGACTCGGTTTGATTGAAATTGAATCAAGTGACCAGATAGCTTACCTCTCGACTTGTCCAAATGTAGAAAGCACCCTCCTTTTTTCTTAATGCACTTTCATATTCTGCACTATCAGCATCCTCCGCCGAAAATATTTCTCCATTAGGGCCAATCATGTCTCTTCTCAGATAATCAAGAATATCTCGAGACATATTTGAGTAGACAGCATCTTTCGTGATAGAAAAAGCATCCAAGTAAACATTGGCAAGTTGCCCTTGGTCATACAACATTTTCTCAAAGTGTGGTACTGCACAGAGACAAAGTATTAACCAGATACTGAACACTGGGCAATGAGGTACATAGTTAATGGGGCAAACTAACCATGCCAACATTCATCCACACTGTATCTGTGAAAACCACCCCCGATGTGATCATGAATACCACCCCTTGCAATGCCCTGTAAGGTCATCACCACCATACTTAGATCTTCCCTTTCTTCACCTGACATACCATTCTCCCTCAACCTCTTTGAACGGTAAAGCATTAGCTGGATTTCAACCGGTCTGGGGAATTTTGGTGCAGACCCAAATCCACCATACTCCGAATCGTAGCTTTCAGAAAGCTAAGAGAAAATCAAAACAAAAGTCGTCAATAGAAACAGACCTGCAAACATCATAAACTATGATTGAAATCTTATAAAGTCATGCATCACAAGTTCAATAAAAATACCTGCTCAGCACATTTTTGCAATGCCTTTTCTAGTAGCCCTTGTGGTAGCTTCTCTGATCTTGCATTAGCAGATAATGCTTCTGAAAGTTGCTCTATAGCAAATGCCCCACTTTGGATTAGCACATCTCTTTTTGTGTCCCAAGCTTCTTTGATCTTCCTGGAAAAAAAGATACTTCCATTGGTCTTAAACTCGTTCGGGAAACACATCGGACCCAATCAAGAAGTATCTGACAAAGCCCAAAGGTATTACCTAAGTATAGTTTTAAAGCCAGGTCTACCATATTTATCATCTGGAGGAAAGTAAGTCCCGCCCATTAAAGGCTTTAGATCGGGAGAAAGAAAGACACTTAGGGGCCAACCACCCCCACCATACATTGCTTGTACATATGTCATGTACACCTGGAGAAGCACTTTAGAGCAGTCAGTAACGTTAAAAAACAAGGCAAAATAAATATCTTCAGCAGTCAAAATGTGTAGGGGCCATCTGAAAAGATATTCAGTTCTATTGGAAGGAGAAGAAAATTATTCACATATTTGCATGATCTCATGAAATGTCATTGTTATTCTAAGGGATCACCTATGAATTGGTATTCCAGGACTCTAAGAAAGTTTGCAGAGCAGAGAAAACTATTCAGCCATGTTTTATTCAATAAACATGTGTATTTTATATCAAAGAACTTATTCCAATTAGATTAGAATCTTTCGGATGAGGTGAAGACAACAAGCCCTTAATTACCTTATCATTGGTAATATCCTCAAAGTTTTCATGCATTTTTGCTTGATCCCCACTAGTAAGACTACCAATTCATGAACTTTCGAATACTTTTTGACATTGCCAGTAGTGAAAGAGAGTAAATAATTGTTAGTCAAGAAACTAACCAATTTTGAATTGAAAGAAAGGAAAAGATAATTTACCTATTTTCCATCCCAATAAGAAGATCGATTATCGGCTAACGCAATCAACTTAACATGATTATCTGTTGGGTCAATATTCATAAGCCAAACACAATTGTGCCACGTGCCTATGAATTAGATGTCGATGATATTAATACAGCACACACAACAATGACCATAAATATAATTATAAAATTAACATTATAAGAGCGTATTATTTAAGTTTTAAGATCATACTGTGTAGTTTTGCACTTTAAAAAAGTGTAGTACCAATTCTAATCACATTAAGTGTCGGGTATGCACTTTACTGTTTATGCAGATAAAATAGTAAAATTAGTTTCAACCATACTTCAAAAAAATGCAGTACCTGTTCTAATCACATAAGATTTAATGTCTATACTTTATGGTTTATGCATTTAAAGGAACACAATCAATTTAAATCACTCTTCAAAGAAGTGTATTACAAATTCTTATAACATCAACTGTAGTGTCTGTACCAAAGACTATAATTGATGGTATAATAACTTGTACCACACTTCTATGAAGAATTATTAAAAGTGCATAAACTAAAAAGTATAGACACTACATCTTATGTGATTAGAATTGATCTACACTTCATAGAAGAATGATTGAAACTGATTTTCTTCCTAGACGTAGACGTTCATACATCATATAATACAAACACGACACTTAGGCCATTTTCTCTTCACCTAAATCTGAATGGTTCTGGTATAATTGAAATAAGTTCTGATCTGAATATAGTTATATTTAAACTTGTTTCTGATCTCATCTAATCTGGTTTGATCTAATCTGGACTGATTCCAATAAGAAAAAGTAATAAATAATAAGAATAAGTTGAAGAGAACATGGCCTTAATGTACATATAATTGGTACAACATTTCTTCAAAATGTAGACATACACTATATGATCCTAAAACTTAAATAACACACTTATATTATAAATTTCATTATTATATCTATGATTTATTGTTCTACCCAAGGCATTAATATCATTGACATATAATACATTGGCACATCTGTTTTTTATTTGTGTACATGAACTCAGAAGATAATCATGTGAAGCTAATTATGGCAGCCGATAGTCGATCTTCCTACCATAATGGCACAACAGGTAAATTATCTTTTCCTTTGATTTTACTCAAAATTTAGCTAAATTCTGGACTAACAATTTTACTTTTTTTGAGCTGTTGGCAATGCCAAAAAATATTTGAAAGTTCATAAATTGATAGTTTTAGTAGCAGGGAGCAAGCGAGGATGTATGAAAACTCAAGAGGGATATTACCAATCATAAGGTAATTAAGTACTCCAAGACTCCTCTATCCTATTTTCTTCCCAATAGGTCCTATAGTAATAGACCTAATAGTTCTAATAAATTTCTTCTTTGATAAAAAATACACATGTTTATTAAAAAACACGACTGAATAGTTTTCTCTAACATTCTTTGCAAAGACAACATAACATGTTTGGGGTGGGTATGTTCGGCAGTTGCAGTAACTTTGCAGAGACCAGCAGCCATTTTGCAATTTTGGCTACCAGTGATGGCACTACAGAAGTTGCAGAGAAGGCAACAACATTCAGGCTTTAGCCTTTAGTGGTGAATAGTTTAGGATGGCAATTTAGGAAACTCAATGTAATTTTAACTTGTATAAGAAATCATGCCAGGCCAACTTGGGATGGAAAATCAGTTTCTCAAAGAACTACAAAGGTCAAATAAAAAAAATATCACAAAGTAAAGCAGCTGAAGTACAGTATGTGTTATTATAAATGTATCATAAATAGGAAGACCTGAGTAAAAACAGTGGTTGGAGGCTGTTTCTCAACAAACTTCTTTGGTGTACAAACTAATGCTGTATCAAGGTGAATACACTGATACTATGAAGTCCTACAAACATGTGTCCACTCCCCTAATCATTCTAAGATATTATTGAGAGGTAGATCAAGTCACCACGCAATTTCAATATGTAGTAAAAGACGACAACAGATAAGTCCATACCTTATCTACATCTGGTCTTTCTTCTCGGTCCACCTGTCAAGAATGCTTCTTGTTAAGCACAAACATAAACATATTAGGGAAGGCGGGAAAAGCTTCTTTGCAGCAATTTAAATGTCCACCTTGATGCTTATAAAAGAGTCATTAAGCAATCTCGCAACCTCTTCATCCTCAAAAGACTCCACCTCCATTACATGACACCTTTATCAAAAGAAAGAAAGGTAAATCAGTGCCTTGATACACGCTACAAAACGCCGCTCGCTAATTGAAAAGGAAAATCACTGGGCAGTTATTACCAATGACACGTGCTGTACCCAACTTCAAATGTAAGACCACGCCAAGAATAAACAGATCCCCAAAAAACCAAAAAAGAAAAGTAGGTTAATTTGTGAGCTCTCTGCCATTATTATTTACTGTAACTACACCAACATGTCTGCTTAATAGAACAAGATTAGAACAATCCACTTAAAAAGAAGAAGAAAAAAAGAGAGAATAGGTAGGACGTACTAGATAGAAAGATGGGAACATCTCTTTTACGAGCTTCAAAAAATGCCTCCTCCCCCCATGGATACCAATCGACCTATATACAGGACCAGGAACACACAATTTTCTTGATCAGACTAGATGCGGGCACGAAATTTCCAGGCATGATTTCGAATTACCACTAACCCATCGGAAAAAGGGGGGAATCAGTCCGTCAAGACTACACTTTTACTACTTACAGGATTGTGGGCGTGCTGAAGAAGGTAAGGACTGTGCTCGGCAGAGAGGCGGTTGGTGTGGTTGCGGGAACCGGACGGCGCCTTTCCCGGAGAGTGGCGGTCGTCGACCATGGCGAAGACTCTAGAATATCCGATCGGCCGCCGGAGGCCCAGAGAAAAAGGGGGAAAGGAGATGAAGTCAGAATTGCGGAAGTTGTTCGCCTGGTAAGATAGAATTAGGCGGGAAGGGGAGGAAGAGAGCAGTCGTTTGATCATGTAGCAAGTAATGGAGGCTGGAGCACTCGAAGGGGGTGGTCTGAGGCGCCACGGAATATGTGAGGTTTCCTGCAGAAAAATGGCTACTCCCGTTGTCTGTAAATCTCACCATTCAAAAACAGACATGTTATCTTGTTCCAAAGAGATACAAGCATGCCAAATATACACAACAAAATGTTACTTCAATCAAAAAAATTTACAAGGATATTTTATATTATTATAAAGCATCATACTTGTATAAAATGTTAGTGACGAATGCCGCTTTTTTGGGGCGTCAACCCGACGAACTCGGTACCAAGTCGGCACCGCACCGATTGGCGAAATCCAGAAAATAAATAAATAAAGCAGAGAGAAAGTATTCATACGTGGAAACCCAAATCGGGAGAAAACTATAGGCCTTTTTAGGCGGTTCTATGTCAAGAGGAGAACTTTTATTAATCTCGAAGTAATTTACATATACATCATTGTAGGAGCTTGGAATCATTAATTAAGCTCCAAGCTTAAAAAGAAGAAGAAGGAAGAATAGTAACATGAGCTTATAGGAAGTGGCCCTTCCCTAAGATCTCCTAGGAGAAGAATGGTCTCCCCCTCTCTTGGGAATGACCTCCCATCTTAAAGGGAAGTTACCATATCACATCGGGTCCTCCTCCATGTGATACTCACATGGGTCTCATGTGGGAGTATTTATCACGAGTTCCACTCAATACTTATATATCACTTCAGATATATTCTTCTATCCATATATCTCTGGCTCCGTCTTGAATAATTTATCTGATTTATATCTTGGGCTTATTTGTACAGTTCAAATAATATTGGACTAGGTAAAATCTATAATCCATCACATGCTCCCCTAGTTTTGAGTCTGTCTCGGGGAACGAGACAGATTTAGAAACTATATGACTCGGTGGGTTGCCTCATGAGATAGAACTTTCCATGGTGCCTCAGGAAGAGGACTTCCTTTTTTGGAGGGTCTCGTTACCTCGTGGGTAAGAATTCAACTTGGTGCCTCTCGAAAGAGAACTTTTCTCAGGGATTTGTGCCTCCTGGAAAAGGTCTTTTCTTTCTTTTTGGGCCTCTTAGAAGAGGGCTTTCTCGGGATTTGGTTCCTCTTGAAAGAGGACTTTTCTCAGGGATTTGTGCCTCTAGCAAGTGGCTTGGACTTAGTACCTCTGGGAAGAGGACTTTCTCGAGACTTGGTGCCTCTTGTAAGAGAACTTTCTCAGAACTCGGTGCCTCTTGGAAGAGGGCTTTTCTCCGAGATTTGGGCCTCTTGGAAAAGGACTTTCTCAGGAATTTGTGCCTCTTTGGAAGAGAACTTTCTCGCGACTTTGTGCTTCTTTGGAAGATGACTTTCTCGGGACTTTGTGCCTCTTTGGAAGAGGACTATCTCGAGACTTGGTGTCTCTTAGAAGAGGACCTTTCTTTTTTTAGTGCCTTGGGAAGAGGACTTGGTGCCTCGGGGATGAGGACTTTCTTTAGACTCGCTTTTAAATATTCTTTGGGAGCCTCTAAAACTACAACCCGATATCTATCTCACAGTGGTTGGGCGCTCCGATCTTATTGAAGGATAGACCTTTCCCATCCATCTTTCTTTCTAACTCCTTTCTCTATCTTGGTACGGGAGTCTATGACTATCTCTAGTAATTCAATCACCTAATAACTCCAACCGAATTACAAATCTCTACTCTCTACTCTTTTACAGTATTACTTTTCTCAACTTGTACAACCCGTCTATTGTATTTCTTATGGATGGGACTCGCAAGACAATGGTCGGACATGCTTGCTAGACTCCCTTGCTCCTTAAAGGATGGAGGTTCTCTAGACAATGGGCAGCGGATAGCTCACATGACTCCCTTGCTCCTTAGAGGAAGGAGGACCTCTAGACGGTGGATGACGGACATCTCACTGGACTCCCTTGCTCCTTGGAGGACGGAGGATCTCTAGACAGTGGATGGCGGATAGCTCATTGGACTCCCTTACTCCTTTAAGGACGGAGGATCTCTAGACAGTGGACGGAGGACACCTCACTCGACTCATTTGCTCTTTAGAGGACAGAGGATCTCTGGACAGTGGATGGCAAATAGCTCATTGGACTCCCTTGCTCATTAGAGTATAGAGGATCTCTATAAAGTGGATGGCGGACACCTCACTAGATTCTCTTGCTCCTAGAGTACGGAGGATCTCTAGATAGTGGACGCCAGACGGCTCACTGGGCTCCTTGGCTCCCTAGAGGACAAAAGATCTCTAGGCAATGGACGGCGGACATTTGAAGCTGGAATAGACCTCTTGAGGCTAGCACCGTCCGTCCCTTAGATGGATCCTAGAAGTGGGAACGGTCCACTTGAGGTCGGTGCCATCCATTTGAGGAACTTATGAAGCTAGAACGGACCTCTTGAGGCTAGTGTCGTCCCTTGGATGGTTCCTAGAAGTTGGAACGATTCACTTAAGGCCCACCGTCCATTTGAGGGACCAATGAAGCTGGAACGGACCACTGGAGGCCATCATGGACTGCTCTAGTGAGGGAGCTGGCCGGACGGATAAGACATGACTTTTCCCTTCCCTTCATCTTTTTCTACGGTTCCCTCTTTCCTAGCTAATCTCAAATCTATTCTCAATTTTTTTCTCAGTACTGATGCTATTGAGACTCGATCCTCTCTTGCTCGACATTCCGGGCTAAAAAAATATTACTCCCTTCGTCCCTAAATAAATTGCAATTTTTTTTCTCTCCTCACGATAACTTTTGTTTGTTTATGCGATTTCATTAAGTATTTGATAAAATAAAATATTCTTGTCACCTCTTGTTTTGTAGAACTTTTGACGTAGTTTTTTAATATGTAATTTTTATATCTTATTGATATACCAATTTGTAAATAAAATGATTTCAAAAAGTAGGAAATTTTACTTCGTAACCCGCAATTTGTAATTTATTTAGGGACGGAGGAAGTATTTGTAATACATTTATTGTACAAATTGAATATAGATTTAACATACTCCTAGCACACCTCTTTTTTAAAATCTTCTTTCTTTCACTCCATCGCTAGTCCACTACAATGTTTTCAAGACTAGTCGTAAAATCAAACAAACAACTAAGTCAAAATCAATTAATTGACGACGTCAATGATCTAGAGGTAAATCATCCTTGATCTAGAGATAAATCAATCATTTGACAACTAAGTCAAAATCAATTGGTTTCCATGCCCAAGATTTGTTAGAGGTAAATCATCCATGGATTTATCCTTTCACTAAACACACAAATATACACACAAAAACACACTAAATTTGTATTTAAAAATAAATATATATTAACGATTTTAAACGGGCTGACACTTCCCGGCGTTAACCACCGCTTGATGCCCTTTAGGCGTTAAACACCGCCTCCTGGCGGCGTTATGGGGCGTCATCTCCAACGCGTCAAAGGTTTAACATGTCTCCCCTCTTCTCCCAACGGCTAAAAGAGTCGTTAATCACAAAAAAAATTAAATTCAAAAAAACCTATAAATTCAATAAAAACAAACATATCTCTGACACATCTCTCACTATCTTCTCTCTATTATTTTATCAAATATTCTTTTCAAATATTTTTCTATTTATTATAATTATTTATAAAATAAATTTTTAAAATGGGGTCATCTTCATCCGATGATGAAAAAAGAGCTCTCATTTTTCGTTGTTTCGCCACGAATTGTATCAATGGTGGCAACAAGTCAAAAAAGAAGAAGCCAAATCCTCCCGACGCCAAACTCGACGACAACATTTAACCCAGGATCGAGCGGCTGCCCACGATTCACTTCTCAACGACTACTTCAATAATCTGTGTGTTTATACACAGGAGGATTTTAATGATTGTTTTTGGATGAGTCGTCCTCTCTTTTTACGCATACTCGCCGATGTTGAACGCGGGGTTGGTTCACCCAATGCTTTGAAGTGAGAGACCGACGCGGGTTTAGTAGTGTCCAAAAGTGCACTATCGCGCTTCGTCAGATGGAGTACGGGACGACATCTGGTTGTTGGACATGAGTTCAAACCCTTTTAGATATTTTCTTGAAATTATTTTCAGGTTTTGAAAAATGATAAACGCAACGTAGAACTAAAATTTATTTTCCGGTTCAAGAAAGCAAAGAGGCACATCAAGAATTTCACGACGACAAACTTAAATCCCTACGCAAGATTTTGAAGAACAGGGAAGTTTTTCCGAAGACTTATTTATTTTGAGTGTAGGAAATTTTGTAAGGATGACAAAATATCTTTCTACTCAAACAAATTTTTTTTAGGGCAATACATTAAAAAGTATATTTAGTTTTGGAGTCAGTTGAAAAATCTTTTAACAGTTCATAATTAATTTATTGAGTCAGTTACAAAAATTGTGTCAAACATTTTTCAAAATAATTATTTTGAACTTAGAAAATATTTTTGGAAAGCAAAAATATTTTACACAAATATTTTTTTGACATCATTTGAGACACAAAATATTTTGGGACTCACTTTTCCACTCCATAATTCATAATCACTCACAAATAATTCAAAAATTATTTTTGAATTAAAGGAGATGTGATTGGGAGCCTTGGTGCAGGGATCTTGTTGGAAACAATAAGATATGGACAAATTTGCTTCATCATCTCGCCAAATGATTGATTCTTAGTGTCATTGCATTATTACCTTTGTAACAATCGATTTTCTCTTCATGCGCAGATCTGGTTTTTCGCTTAGACTTTTTAATCAATTTTCTCACCCTTTGCAAAAATCAATTATCATCTTCAGGATTGGTTGGTAATCGATTATCAACATATGATAATCGACTATCAAGACTCGCAAGAGTTGAGATAATCGATTATCATAATGTGATAATCGACTATCACTAGGAGCAGATTCTTTCAGTTTTTCCAGGAAAGAAAAATAATCAATTTTCTCATCCCTAAAAATCAATTTTTGTTTGGATTTTCAGCCAGCTCTTTTTCCTTGGCTCCAACTGACATATTCCTTCAACCCCTTTATACACATCATTCCTTGGTCATTTTTATAAACAATATAAACACTCCAATCTCCTCCTTCATTACTTTGATTCTTGCTTCATTCTTGATAATCAAAATATTACTTTGAGAGCCAAAAATAGATTTCCTTGAGTGCAAAGATATTGTTATCCATAGAGATTATACACATGACTTTCATGTGAGCGTATGGAGGTGATGTGATCATTCTAGGGAGGTTCTTTGTGCAAGGAGGGGAGTTTAAATGTTTAAGTACTCCTATTTAAGGGAGTTTAAGTTTCAACGTCTATTTTAAGGATATGACATCTCTTTTACTCCTGATTTGGTCCTTCTCCCTTATTATTACTTTTTTGGGCTCTTCACCCGGCTGCACAATCAAAAACTTTGCATATTTAAACTTTTTCCACCCTTCTTGCATGCTTTTTACATCTTCTTTCTTTGTATTTCCCTAGTGAGGACTTTCTAACTCTCCTTATGTTCAACCTCGTTCTCTTGTAATGTGAGTTCAAAAAGTCACAAAAAGAAAAAATGAGGGCTGAGGCTCTTTTTTTTCTATCTGGACCGGGCCGGCCCGTCATTGCACGGGTCCGCAAGTATTGAAGGCAGGGTACATGCTATATAAACAAACCCACGGGCGTCCCGGCCCAAACAATATGCCTAAAATCCTATTATTTCTTTAGTTGCCAAAATTGTTATGGGTTTCATTGTTGGAAAGTAAACATTGCAGAATTCTTTATCCTTTTTTTTTTGCAGATCACTATTGTTGCTAATACTTGTTTTGTATTCCCTCTGTCTTAATTTAAATCGCATATTTCAGTTTACAATATTTGAATAAAATTATTTCCAATATAATTTATTTGAGAATAGGAGGAGAATTAAAAAAAAAATTACATATTAAAAACTACATCAAAACCTTTACGAAGTAAGTGGTGACAAAACTATATTATTTTATCAAAAGAGTAACAAAAATATGAAAAGAAAATGAATAAAATCTAATCCTTTGAATAGTTTATACGCAACATTATTTGGTACAAAGTATTTTTCGAAGAATGTACAAATGCATGTTTCAATTTGTTTTAAAATTCCTTTTTTAATACCCAATACAATTAAAATTGTTTCAAATGTTAGCAAGGCCGACCCAAAAACAACGGTATTCAAGAGGGCCAGGCCAAGGTTTCAACTATTAGGCTCGTTGTGAAAACCAATCCAGACAAGTGCCTAAGAAACTTTTGTAATAAAGCATCCAAGTCCGACCCAAAACTCTACCCTAGAGGCACTTTGATCAGGTCTAATGGAATTCAAATTTATTATGAAATAAAATATACTCCATAGGTATTATCATCAAGATTTAAATATTGCTACATTTAAATTGTACGGCTTGCGTATTTTAAAAATATTTACAACAATTTTAAGACTACTCTGTTGAATTGGATAAATAAAGTTGCATGCTCGAAGAAGATAGAAAGAATCCAAAAGTAGTTGGAAAAAGGAAATGTTATCGATGACACATAACATAATAAAACATCAACGGAATGAATGTTAAGAAGTAGCAGTTAGTCAATCAATGCAACTTTGGACACTGTGCCAGGGGTCTCTTCAGAAACAGCCTCTCTACTTTTGATGTTGTTGCCCAACATTTTGAACAGCGCTCTCGATGTTCTTGGCCAACTCAGCAGCAGCGCCGATATATGTATGTGGTGTTAAGTTCAAGAGAGATGTCTTTGCATTGGGTGGTAATTCCAAACCTTCAATGAACTCTCTAATGCTTTCTTTTGTCACTGTCCTCCCCCGGGTTAGCTCTTTCAGCTTTTCATAAGGCTCGGGGACGCCATCTCTTCGCATCACCTGTGACAAGGCAAATGTAAGGATAGATCAGAACCTTTCAATGGGGAATTCGATTAATATATTGAAAAGAAAGTCTTGAAATGTAAGGAAATGCAAAATGAATCAAAACTAAATGCATGAAGTAGTACGCAGTAAGGGAGTGTGCATAGAAAACCCCATCTAACTTTTTAATATTAGATCTCATTAACGAGAACCCGATGCTCACTGATGCTCAGTAGTTAGGTACAGCGATTGGAAATCATCAATTACAGCTATTTTCTTTAACTTAATTGAGTTGGTTTGACAGAATTTAACATAAAATGAAGAAACATATGGTATAATGAAAATGATCCCTTTTATGGGATAAATTAAGTATTCAAATAAGACTTTTTTAAGAGTAAAAAAATATAGCACAAAATGAAGAGTCCTTAATTAAAGCAACATAGGGAAAAAACAGATTTTGAATTCTAAAATTATCAAACTCCAGCCACAAACGGAAAAGCTATGGTGAGTGTATATTGCAGAGCACTATGACAAATTTATTAAAGTAAGAGAACAAGTTCCATACAGTTTGTATAGCTTCAGCAAGAACCTCCCATGATCGGTTCAAGTCTTGTGTCAAGGCAGCTTCATTGACCTGTGATAAGGCAAGTCGGGAATTTGGAAACCGAAATGTTAGACAGGTGAAAATCAATACAAAACTACTGATAATGGAAAATCATAAGATGGGATACATGCGAGAAGTGAATGCCTAAGAGGGATGGACTGGGCGTGATTGGTTTGGTTCAGTACCTTCTTACACTATTTTCATCCTAAAATAATATTTTATTTTTAAGAGCGGCTCAATTTCTAATTATAAGATATACATTTCCCTGCTCTAAGCAAAGTCATTGAGCATGAATTAAGTGAACTTTTAACCGACAGAGTACTCAAAGAGAAACACAATTATGTTGGATCTTGGAGCCGTATTTTTACCTGAAGCTTTGTAATTCGCTGTAAGTGAATTACAGGGAATCCGTCAAATCCCTATGCAATAAGTGAATGCCCCAACCCTACTCCCATGTTTCGCAGAGCAGTTGAATCCGTCAAATCCCTCTGCACATCAAAATGTTCAGGAAGTGCAATTATAAAAGGAACAAAAGAGAAACCTGAGTGGCTAACTTAACCAAAGCAGCGATTAAAGAGCGCAACCACAAGATATATTTCTGAGAGTTGAGAAGATTTATCCACACAAAAAACTGTGGACCCATTTTATGAACTAAACCAGAAAAGCTTTATTATACCACAAAAAGTGGACAAGTATGGTGTACCTACCACGGAGGAATAGGTGGCTTTGTGCTAAAATACGATAGACTTCCATTAGCAACTCCTAGATTTCCTTCGCTGTTCTCAAAATCAATGGGATTCACCTTGTGAGGCATTGTTGAAGATCCAATTTCACCAGCTTTAGTTATCTGCTCAAAACTTGAAATTGTTATTATTTCTTTACATTGTTCAAGATCAAATACATTTAATACTCTCAGCAATTCCCTCCCTCCCCCAAAAAGTAATGAGTAGAATACAAGACTGAGTTCAAGCTATTCACGATGAGATTTTAATACAGAGTATTATATAATTAAAAAATAATATTTTTAAGTATTATATATATGAGCTATTAAATAAAACATCTATTTTCAATTTTTATGAATTGCAACATGAAGGTCATCCCATGTAAGACATTCCCACTGCTTTGTGCATGAACTCATTGTGTTAAGTAATTCTATACAACTATTTGACACTGAATTTCATGTCTGGGGTGCCAATGACGATGATGTACTAAACAAACAAAACCCAGTTTTTGCAGAAGTGGGGTCTGTGAAGAAAAGTTGGTTTTGTCAATGAATAAAATCTGTATAGTTCAAAACGGGACCGAGGAAGTCGTACTACATCCTCAAATTGGATGGCTGACAAACCTGTTTGAAGTATCGCAAGGAAATGTAGTCCCAAATGTCTCGATTAAAATTAATTAAAATGGTGTTGAATCGGATAATTGATTTAGACAGTTTGGCCATATCGTCAAGGGATTCAATCTGCATCATTGAAAAGTCATACAATGAAACTATATCACAAGGTTAACAAATACAGGAGTACATAAAATTCACGTATAGTCACATCATTTGAGCAACCATCAATAATGACTAGAGAGAGTAAGCCAAGGATCAAGCACACAATCTGATATAAATGTTTCAAAAGATGTAACGGATAAAATGACATAAAATAAGTTAATAAATGGACTGCAATGGTAAAAGGAAGAAAAAAAAAGTGGCGTGACAAGAAGATAGGCAAATAAATAAAAACAAGCACTATAAATGGGGTATCATAGCCAAGTTCACAAAAGATCAAACATCCATGCAAGCCCTTGACATACAAAACACATGCAGTGATATGTTTGGCGCTAATAATTCCTTGTTATGGGCACGTGATATTAGAAGGAAGAACTTCGACCCAGGGTTTCAAGAATGAAACTCAAGCATGCAAAAACCAAATAGAGAGCCCATCGGCTCCAAGAAAGAAAAAAGATACTCCGTATAATTTTTAATTCCTTATTCCATAATTATCATACTTATTCATACTCCCTCCATCCACAATTTTCTTTCCTATTTTGACTTTACACGCTTATTAAGAAAAGTTAAAAAAGTGAAAAGACTTTTGATGTTTTCCCTTTATGTGATGGAACAAAGTGAATAATGCTGATAAAAAGTAGGGGTATAATAGCACATTCATTAAACGTTTTTGGACAAAATAGGAAATGAGAAAGAAATTAATGGACGGAGTAATAGAGAACAATTGCCTTTGGGTATAGAGGCGACAACTAAGACTAATAAGAAACTACTGTTAAATATAAAAGTAAACTATCGCTACCATTAATAATAATAATAATCTTAATAATATTTAATAATAATAATAAGAACCGTAATAATACTCCCTCCATCCATTTATTTTCTTCCCGCTTTGACCGGGCATGAATGTTAAGAAAAGTTAAGATTTGCATTGACTTTCCAATAATGCCCCTCCCCACTTTCTATTCACAGCCTGTGTGTTTCCCCTCCCTTCTCATCACCTCTTCTGCCGCACTTGGGTGAAGTAACCGGACATGGGACCGGCGGCTTTCCAACTATTCAGTTTTGTTATTTTCTTTAAAAAAAATCTGTTGGTAAAGTGCTTCTTATTGAAAAAACAACTCTGAAATTTGAAAATACAGATCTAAAATGCTTCATATTACCTCAATTTGTGCAATTTGTGAAATCTTCTGCCTTGCTGTATATAACCGATATGAAAAATTGGCCATTTCCTTGCCTAGTGTTGTAGGTGTAGCTGGCTACAACATACTAGATTAGAGCTGCTTTCAAGATTTGTTAACACTGTATATCTTAACAATGCTTAGGATTATAAATTGGACAAATCAGCAAGATTTCCGAACTATGAAAAAGATGGGCACACAAGTATTTACCTGCCCATGGGTGTGGGATAGCATTGGGACATGAGCAGTCTTTGTGGCAATGCTAGTGATTGCTGTAATCAATTCATCCATGACTCGCAATATAACACTGCTAATAGCTTCTTTTAGCGTTAATGCATGTGCTAGGTTGTTGATGTCTTCAGAAGTGCATTCAAAATGGGAAAACTCAAGCACCTAGACAAAAATACGATACAAATAAAACCAAATTTCAGGTCAAATGAAAATGAAATATATACAAAATTATACAAATCCTTTTTCTCCAATTATACTCCAAAGCAACAAAGGTTGTGTGTCATATATGTGAAGATAAATTGACCTTTGTATGACAGAATTGTATCAAAATTGTATTCCTCGTTTAGTTCATTTATATTTCAGGGTCACAAAACATTGTTTTACTAAAACAGTGTTTGTACGTGCACACATAAAAGCATGTCTACAACTTAATATACCTTTGAAATTTCTTCATGTGATTGGCATCTTTGTTTCAGGAAGTACTCCACTGCTTTAACATCATTGTTAGTCACTCTCTCAATTTCCTTCACTTCCATGGCATCATCCAAGCTAAATCCATCAATCAAGTCATGTAGGAACGACTTCGCTCCCGGAGAGAAATCAGGAACTTCGGGGATTTCTGGAACTTCTGAAAGCTTTAACAACCACTCAATCTGAAAAAAAAAGCAACATATGTGTTTCACTTATAGACTATAGAGAAGACAAAAGTCACTTCAAACTTCACAGTTTTTTCTGCATAGACTTGATGAAATGAAGGTAAATTTAAGTTTAAACTAAAAACTGAACCACAATTGGGAGTGCACTGAGTTGAAAGTTTTCTTGAAAGGTGACAGGTAACCAATTTTTTTATTTTGGTATCCAACTGCTAATACATTTAAATATAATACCCCACAATTTTTTTTAATTCTTTTATATAGATTTTCAGTAGATTAATCTAAACAAAAAGTAGTCACCAAAAATAATTTCTGAATACTCAGAGCAGATATGATACATGATAGGACGCAATAACATTGTTTGATCCATGTTGCGGACCCCATTTAATGTGATAAGGCTTTGTTGTTGTTGTTTGTTGTTTACTTGATAAACAACATAAATCATTATGATATCATTATTACATATACATCTATTTCCAAATAAAAACATGAAACAGAACATGGAAAAGCAGTTCAAAGAAAGTGGAACACCTCAACTAAAACTCGAAAGCGAATGAGCCCATACTCGCTCATGAACGGAGCAAGGACCTTAAATTTATCCCAGTAGCGGCCATCCAACGGGCATACAGCTGTTAAACTTGATAGTACCAAATCGCAAGAGTTATTGGCAGACATTGTTTTGACCTGGATAAAAAAAAGAACACTTTTGCAACCAACTTAAATTAAATGCTGATGATGGCTAGTCTCAGCAAATGGAACACAATGTTAGCATTCCTATTTATGAGCCTTTTTAAGATCAACATTTCAACTGCAAGAGTGCAAGTCACATTCATCATGTTCTATGATATGCAGAAATGTTCAAGTGGTAGAGCAACACTTGAAAGAATAAGTAAAATGGCTCCACTCATCAATCTTATGCTCCCGCTGTTGCGGGAAAATGTTTTACCTTTTCTTTTGGTTTATAACAAAATAAATTTCTACATTNTAAATGCTGATGATGGCTAGTCTCAGCAAATGGAACACAATGTTAGCATTCCTATTTATGAGCCTTTTTAAGATCAACATTTCAACTGCAAGAGTGCAAGTCACATTCATCATGTTCTATGATATGCAGAAATGTTCAAGTGGTAGAGCAACACTTGAAAGAATAAGTAAAATGGCTCCACTCATCAATCTTATGCTCCCGCTGTTGCGGGAAAATGTTTTACCTTTTCTTTTGGTTTATAACAAAATAAATTTCTACATTCCTTCAAAAGAATAAAATGCGTGGTACTTATTACTCTGTCTCGCCCAAAATAAGACTCCTCATTTCTTTTTCTGGACCTAACAAAAGATTCTTCTTTCCACTTTTGGAATTTTTTGTGGCTCGCAATCTTTCTCTGCTCTCTTTACTATCAACCACAAAAATATACATTTCTTAGACTTTTCTTAAACTTTGTGTCAAGTCAAACTATGAACTTTTTATTGGGACCAAGGGAGTATTTCTCAACAGCGCAATTTCAACTTTCTTAATACGGTTTCCATTTCGGTTCAAAGGTCCTTATTCCGGGACGCAAGGTTTATTTCTTAAAATTTAAGTTCGAATTATAACTCAAAACAGGCAAAGAATATAGTCTCTATAATAAAAAGAGGCTAGCTTTTCGACTGTTCCAAACAGGCATGGCAACGGGTCGGGGTCGGGTCGGAGAGTAATATACCCGAACCCGACCCGACTTCTTCTTCTTCTTCTTCTTGTTACTACTACTCATAGTTCTCAGGTAAGGATAGACCAGACCATTTTAGCGGGAATTTTCATTAATATATTGAAAAGAAAGTCTTGAAATTTAAGGAAGTGCAAAATGAATAAAAACTAAATGCATGAAGTAGTATGCAGTAAGGGAGTGTGCATAGAAAACCCCGTCTAATTTTTAAATATTATATCTCAATAACGAGAACCCGATGCTCACTAATGCTCGGTAGTAAGGTACAACCGTACAACTATTGGAAATCATCAATTACAGCTACTTTCTTTAACTTAATTGAGTTCGTTTCAAAGAATTGAACATAAAATGAAGAAACATATGATATAATGAAAATGATCCCTTTTATGGGATAAAAATAAGTATTCAAATAAGACTTTTTTTAATAGCACAAAATGAAGAGTGCTTAATTAAAGCAACATAGGGAAAAAACAGATTTTGAATTCTAAAATTATCAAACTCCAGCCACACAAGGAAAAGCTATAGTGTGTGTATATTGCAGCGACGATGACAAATTTATTAAAGTAAGAGAACAAGTTCCATACAGTTTGTATAGGTTCTGCAAGAACCTCCAGTGTTTGGTTCAAATCTTCTGTCAAGGCAGCTTCATTGACCTGTGATAGGGTAAGTCGGGAATTTTGAAACCAAAATGTTAGACAGGTGAAAATCAATACAAAACTACTGATAATGGAAAATCATAAGATAGGATACATGCAAGAAGTGAATGCCTAAGAGGGATACTCTGGTCGTGTTTGGTTTGGTTCAGTATCTTCTTACACTATTTTCATCCTAATCTAATATCCTATTTTTAAGAGCAGCACAATTTCTAATTATAAGATATATATTTCCCTGCTCTAAGCAAAGCCATTGAGCATGAATTAAGTGAACTCCGATAGAGTACTCAAAGAGAAACACAATTATGTTGGAAGTTGGAGCCGTACTTTCACCTGAAGCTTTGTAATTCCCTGTAATGCATTTCGATATGGAATAAGTGAATGCCCCAACCCTACTCCCATGTTTCTCAGAGCAGTTGAATCCGTCAAATCCCTCTGCACATCAAAATGTTCAGGAAGTGCAATTATAGAAGGAACAAAAGAGAAACCTGAGTGGCTAACTGAACCAAAGCAGCGATTAAAGAGCGCAACCATAAGATATATTTCTGAGAGTTGAGAAGCTTTATCCACACAAAATTGTGGACCCCTTGTGTTCGTGTCGAACACATTAAAGTACTATATCAGAAAAGCTTTATTATACCACAAAAAGTGGACAAGAATGGTGTACCTGCAACCGAGAAATAGGTAGCTTTGTGCTAAGATGCTGTAGGTTTCCATTAGCAACTCCTAGATTTCCTTCAGTGTTCTCAAAATCAATGGGATTCACATTGTGAGGCATTGTTGAAGATCCAATTTCCCCAGCTTTAGTTATCTGCTCAAAACTTGAAATGGTTATTACTTCTTTACATTGTTCAAGATCAGATACATTTAATACCCTGAGCAATTCCCTCCTTCCCTCCCAAACAGAAATGAGTAGAATACAAGACTGGATTCAACCTATTTACAATGAGATTTAATACAGAGTATTATTTAATCAAAAAATAATATTTTCAAATATTATATAAATGAGCTATTAAATATAACAACTATTTTCAATTATTATGGATTGTAACAGGAAGGTCATCCCGTGTAAGACATTGCCACTGCTTTGTGCATGAATTCATTGTGTTAAGAAATTCTATACAACTATTTGACACTGAATTTAATGTCACAGACACCAACAAGTTGGGATTGGGCTGGGGTGCCAATGACAATGATGTACTAAACAAACAAAACCCAGCTTTTCGCAGAAGTGGGGTCTGTGGAGAAAAGTTGGTTTCTTCAATGAAAAAAAACTGTATAGTTTAAAACGGGGCAGAGGAAGTAGTACTACATCATCAAATTGAATGGCTGACAAAGCTGTTTGAAGTAAGGCAAGGAAATGTATCCCCACATGGCTTGATTAAAATCAATTAAAATGTTGTTGAATCCGATAATTGAATCAAACAGTTCGGCCATATAGTCATGGGGTTCAATCTGCATCATTGAAAAGCCATACAATGAAACTATATCACAAGGTTAACAAATACTGGAGTACATAAAATTCACTTATAGTCACAACATTTGAGCAACCATCAATAATGACTAGAGAGAGTAAGCCAAGAATCAAGCACACAATCTGATATAAATGTTTCACAAGATGTAACGGATAAAATGAAATAAAATAAGTTAATAAACGGACTGCAATGGTAAAAGGAAGAAAAAAATCAAGGTGGAGTGACAAGAAGATAGGCACATAAACAAAAACAAGCACTATAAATGGGGCATCATAGCCAAGTCCACAAAAGATCAAACATCCATGCAAGCCCTAGACATACTAAACACATGCAATGATTATTTGGCGCTAATAATCCTTTGTCATGGGCACGTGATATTAGAAGGAAGAACTTCGACCCAGGGTTTCAAGAATGAACCTCAAGCATGCAAAAACCAAGGAGAGAGCAAATCGGCTCCAAGAAAGAAAAAAGATAATCCGTATAATTATTAATTCCTTATTCCATAATAATCATACTCCCTCAGTCCACAATTTTCTTCCCCATTTTGACTTTACACGCTTATTAAGAAAAGTTCAAAAAGTGGAAAGACTTTCCACGTTTGCCCTTGATGTGATGGAAAAAAGTGAATAATGTAGATAAAAAGTAGGGGTATAATAGCACATTCATTAAATGTTTTTTGTCAAAATAAAAAATGGGAAAGAAATTAATGGACGGAGTAATAGATAACAATTGCCTTCATGTATAGAGGCTACAACTAAGACTAATAAAAAAAATTCCCAAAAAACAGACTTGTAAGAAACTACTATTAATTCTAAAAGCAATCTATCACTACCATTAACAATAATAATGTGAATGATATTAATAATAATAATAATAAGAACCTTAATATTTAATACTAATAATAATAATAATAACTATTAATAATAATTCTAAGATAATATTGACAGTATCACGCAGCCTAGAAAGAGAGATAAGCCTAGACAATTTACTACCCTTCCATCCAAATCCTTGACGCCAGAGCTTCCTATCTAAGGAGATATTTTTCATAATACCAACCTGAGAGACATACGGATTGAAGCTTAAGCCAAGAGATGTTACAAAGTCTTCTGCCACTTGTGGCCAGTTTACATCAGGGTATGCAACTAGATGTGCGTTATAGTTTCCAACTGCACCTGAGAGACATACGGATTGAAGCTTAAGCCAAGAGATGTTACAAAGTCTTCTGCCACTTGTGGCCAGTTTACATCAGGGTATGCAACTAGATGTGCGTTATAGTTTCCAACTGCACCTGCAAACTTCCCTCTCATCTCAATTTGTGAAATCTCCTGCCTTGTTTTATATAACCGACATGAAAAATTGGCCATTTCCTTGCCTAGCATTGTAGGTGTAGCTGGCTACAACATAATAGATTAGAGCTGCTTTCAAGATTTGTTAACACTGTACATCTTAACAATGCTTAGGATTATATATTGCCATATTGGACAAATCAGCAAGATTTCAGAACTATGAAAAAGATGGGCACACAAGTATTTACCTGCCCATGGTTGCGGGAAAGCATTGGGACATGAGCAGTCTTTGTGGCAATGTTAGTGATTGTTGAAATCAGCTCATCCATGACTGGCAATATAACACTGCTAATAGCTTCTTTTAGTGTTAATGCATGTGCTAGGTTGTTGATGTCCTCAGAAGTGCATGCAAAATGAAAAAACTCAAGCACCTAGACAAAAATACGATACACATAAAAACAAATTTCAGGTCACATGAAAATTAAATAAATACAAAATTATACAAATCCTTTTTCTGCATTTATACTCCAAAGCTACAAAGGTTGTGTCATATATGTGAAGATAAATTGACCTTTGTAAGAAAAAATTGTATCAAAATTGTATTCCTCGTTTAGTTCATTTATATTCCAGGGACACAAAACATTGTTTTACTAAAACAGTTTTTGTACGCATGCACACATAAAAGCATGTCTACAACTTAATATACCTTTGAAATTTCTTCATGCGATTGGCATCTTTGTTTCAGGAAGTACTCCACTGCTTTAACATCATGATTAGTCACTCTCTCAATTTCCTTCACTTCCATGGCATCATCCAAGCTAAATCCATCAATCAAGCCATGTAAGAACGACTTCGCTCCCGGAGAGAGATCAGGAACTTCGGGGATTTCTGGAACTTCTGAAAGCTTTAACAACCACTCAATCTGGAAAAAAAACAACATATGTGTTTCACTTATAGACTATAGAGAAGACAAAAGTCACTTCAAAATTCACAATTTTTTCTGCATAGACTTGATGAAGTGAAGGTAAATTTAAGTTTAAACTAAAATTGAACCACAATTGTGAGTGCACTGAATGGAAAGTTTGGATGAAAAGGTGAGAGGTAAAAAAAAAATTATTTTGGTGTCCAACTGCTGATACTTTTAGATATAATACCCAACAATTTTTTTAAAACTTTCTTATATTGATTTTCAGTAGATTAATCTAAACAAAAAGAAGTCACTACAAATATTTTCTTAATACTCAGGTCAGGTATGATACATGATAGGACGCAATGACGTTGTTTGATCCATGTTGCGGACCCCACCTAATGGGATAAGGCTTTGTTGTTGTTTGTTTGTGTTAGTTCCATGGTGTTGGCTAATCTTTTGGCAAAATAGAATCCCATATTTGTTAGATGTTTTACTAGGTAGAAACCTCTATTTGTTAGGAGAGGTTTATTTTATTTAGACTTCTAGAGCTGCTGCAGTTTTCGAGGTTGACGCAAAAGATGCTACAGCACGATGCTGCAACACAGTGTGCGGGATCAGAGGTCTGAGCACGGGATTTTAAGCTGCAATCTGAATTAGAGACCTATTGGGATTGTGATTACATGATAATAACTCCAACTGTACATGCTAAGGAATCCCAACTCTTTAGGATACTTGTGGATCAAGATTAATGAAGTAGAGTTCAAGCCAACTTCTACTATCCTATTCCTACTAGGATTGTGTTAAGAGGAGTCTATAAAAACGCAGCTGGTCCCTGGGAATTACGGGGAGCGATTGAGAGGGAAAACAAAGAATATACGCTGATGTAGAGCATTCCCGTCGCGTCCCGGAGCTTCCCTTGCGTGAAGAAGATTACGATCTACATATAGGAAGAGATATTCAACGCCAAAACAGATCGTGACAACCAGGAGATGAACCAGAGCTTAAGGAGAGGGCTGCCAACACGTTTGTCTTCGTGATCTCGGTGGAGATGTGATAGCCGAAGCGGATCTGAACAGAGTTCGGGTTAGAAATCCTAGATTAGAAGTTTTGTCATAGCAATTCGGAGAAGGGTGTCTCATCATGTTGTTATGTACCTGTGTAACATCTAGTGATTTAGTGGAGGGCTATTACACGGACGTGGGCCCCGCAGACTAGGAGAATTTGCTCCGAACTGCATAAACATATCTGGTGTTATTTTTTACGCTTTTTACAGTTACAACATTCTGCCCAGTAGGCGCTGTAACACCCTCTGCGTCATCTGCTTCTGTCTGTGTGTGCTTGTGACAGAGAAGTGTTATAGCACACTGTCCGTCATCTGTTACTGTGACAGTGCTGCAACATCTTCTCTACAACATAGCTGGTTGATTTGTTTGCATAGTTCTTAATTGGTGATTTCCGCTGCGCCCCCACGAACTTTCAGTTTGTTGTTTAGTTGCAAAACAACATAAATCATAATGCAATCACATATCAAGACCAACAAGAAAAACAGAGAGCCACCATTATGATATCATTATTACATATACATCCATTTCCAAATAAAAACATGAAAAAGCAATTCAAAGAAAGTGGAACACCTCAACTAAAACTCGAAAGCGAATGAGCCCAAACTCGCTCATGAACGGAGCCAGGGCCTTAATTTTATCCCAATAGCAGCCATCCAACAAGCATGCAGCTGTTAAACTTGATAGTACCAAATCACAAGAGCTATTGGCAGACGTTGTTTTGACCTGGATAATAAAAAAGAACACTTTTTTCAACCAACATAAATGAAGTGCTAATGATGGCTAGTCTCAGCAAATGGAACACAATGTTAGCATTCCTTTTGATGAGCCTTTTTAAGACCAACATTTCAACTGCAAGTCACATTCATCATGTTCCATGATTTGCAGATATGTTCAAGTGGTAGAGCAACACTTGAACGAATAAGTAAAATAGCATTTCTTTTTGGTATATAACAAAATAAATTTCTACTTTCCTTCAAAAGAATAAAATGTGTGGTATTTCAACTTTCTTAATAAGGTTTCTTAATACACAAAAGTATATTTCTTAAAATTTAAGTTGGAATCATCACAGAAAAACTCAAAACAGGTAAAAGAATATAGTCTGTATGATAAGATGAATAAAAAGGGGCTACCTTTTCGAGGGTTCCAAATGAGCTGTTCTTCCTATTCCTATGCACTTCAGCAGTTGCCCTGCAGCGCATAGAAGCAGGAGCAGTACGAGATAAACACGGACGGTGGTAGCGAGTGTTCTGCCGAGTAATCGGTCGGCAGAGGAAAAACGAGGTTTGGTTGATGGTAGATTTAAGGCAAGTTCCGAACTCCATTCCCGATTGCTTCGAAAATTTTGAAGGTGGGAAGGAAATTGAAGCAGGGACCGGAGATCGAGCTGGATGCCGGAGGAAGGAGGAATCAGGGGACCTATCATAACCTCATAAATAGCTTTCATTGTAACTCCAGTCTCCAGATCAAATCAGAATTCTAAGGTTGGCGGAAGAACGAAAGGGATGGAGTCCGGAAGGAAATTTTGTAACGGCCCGATATTATTCTTTCATGGAATAATAGTTTGATTGCTAGGAGTATTTGGAAGAATTTATGGAAAAGGGCAGAAAAAGGTTGGAATTGCCCTCCTATATGGCTATATCTAACAGAGATTCGCGTGAGGCGCGTCCGCTCTACTTGCGTAAAATGAGAGGAAATGACAGAAAGGCCCTTCCAACGAAGAAACAAAACGTCACTGTTTATTACCGTTACTTCAAAAATTAAACGGAAATATTAAAATTAACGACCAGCCGTTAGGTTGCCTTCGAAGCGTCACGATGATTTTTAGAAAGGCCAAACGGCGTCGTTTGAAGCGCCAACCCCTCCTTAATCCCCCGACTAGTCTTCGGAAACGATACGCCTTCATCAATCGAAACTCTTCTGCTCTTCGTTCTACATTGCTTACCGTCGTCGGATACCTTCAAGAACTACCACACATCTCTTTGCCATGGAGAACACCGGAGCAAGTAGCGGGTTCCAGTACAAGAGAAGAAGAATTCTAACCCAAACACAAAGGGAGG